TGTAATTCCTCTTTTAGATCTTGCAAGAATTTCCTCACCTCCTGGAACTCATCAACTTCTTTCTCCTTTCTCTTTAGCAGTTCATTGTCTCTCTTCTCTTCCATCTCAGTTAGCTTTGCCATTATGAATGTTCTAAATTCTTTATCAGACATTTTCATAATTTGCATTGAACTGCTTGTGGATGAACAGGAGTTATTCTTTTCCCTTGGGGGAGAGGTATTTTCTTGCTTTCCCATATTTCTTGTGGTCCCATGGTGATTTCTTGTCATCTGATGAATGGTGTTTTTCTTTCGAATTCTTGAAGTTCAATCTGAGTGTTCAGGAGCAAGCAGAAAGAGGTGATCTGGAATCTCTTTGCCGTTCTGTTGTGATCGCTGGTGCAGCAGATTCTGTAGATGTTGAGGAATATGTTAACCCTAATAGTATTTCAATGTTTAGCTACAGTGCCCTTAAATCCATCTAGAAACACATTGAATGGATATTGAAGAGTGGAGAGAAAAGAAAAAAGAAAATGAAAGAGAGAGAGAAACAATGACAAAGAAAAAAAAAAAGACCAAAAAAATGTAACTTTTGTATTTCTTAAAAAAAAAAAATTAAAAACCTAAAAAATAGAAAAATTACAAAAAAATGAGAGGACAGAAGCAGAGAGAGACAAAGACAGAGGCACAGAGACCGATAGAAGGTCAGAGGGGCTCCCTACCACGCTAGCTTTGTTTGCTGGAGGCTGAATTATCGGTAGAAAATCTTCATTTTTCCTGTCCCCTGCAATGACTAGTTAGCAGGAGCCATGAGGAATCCTCTTCTCGTAAGTAATGTTTTTAAAGCTGTGAATTACCCTGAAAATTCTTGTGGTCTGGTTCCATTCATTCTTTTTTTTTTTTTTTTTTTTCATTTTTCTTTTTTTTTATTATTTTCATTGCATGTTTCTTTTTTTTTATTATTATCATCATAATCTTCTTTATATTACATTGGGTTACATATAATTTTACAGTGTATTACATTGCTTTTTGAAAAGGGAATGCCATGCGTGTCAGTCAATACAGAGACATTAACATCCCCACTTCATCATTCAGTATCTTTTCTATGTTTTTCCAATCATTATTATTATTATTCTAATTATTTTTTAAAACAGTCAATCACTATTTCTCATTTTGCTTGTAAAAAGACTTTACCCATCATGAAAGTTCCATTCATTCTTTAAGAGAACCAAATACTGGGTTGTCAGAAAGTCATGATGCATTTTTTTATGTTTTCCTAAGAAAAAATTGCATCATGACTTCTCTGACAACCCAGTAATTACCTAGAACCCTTTATCAGCAAGAACTAACACTGGTTAGCGAGTAGTCTAGTAACTTTCCATGCAGGGTCTTTGCATGCTACTCAGATGAGTTCTTGTAGTATCATAAAACTTGCATGAATGCACTTGGCCATGCCTGAAAATATCCTCTGCCCTCCTTCTTTCATTTTCTGTCCATCCTTAAGGGTCCTAATCAAATCCAGATCGAACCAACTCTCAATGATCTCTCCCCATCCTCAGAACCTGAAACACCACTCCACACTCACTCTTGCCATCCCCATTGGGTTCCTAGCAGCAAGGGGACCCCCACGGCTGGACACGAGCTCCATGGGAACTGTGCCTGTCACCCACTATGCAGCCCAGCTGCTCCCAGCACTAACTAGTACTAGACTTCCTCCATATACGGTGGTCAGTACGTCCTTTCTTTGTTTTTTAATTTTTGTTGTGGTGGTGTTTTCTTTGTTTACATTTAATCACTGTACATCTTTGAGTTTGTGCAAATGAGAAAGACAACAGATACCTTGTTTGGAAAGCACAAAAAAGTTCAGAGCACCTTGAAATAAAGTATCAGGTTCAGTTCATCGCTCTTTCCGTGTAATGTTTGTATCATCTCTCTCTTGGTGTCATGGAAAGAGCGATGAAGAGGAGTCAAAAGGCCTAAGAGGTATCTGAAGTCTGCCACTCACTGTGTAACTTTGGACCAGTCACCACCAACTCCATGTCAATGTTGAATTCTAACTTGTACATCGGTTAGTGATTTTAACTGGACCTCAGTTAAGGGGGTGAGTGAGGATGAAAGGGTAGGAAGCGTTCCTTAATCAATGCAAATGCTCTGGACAATTTAATAAAAAGCCAGGTAGAGACATATAAACAAAGCAACTGTAACTACACAGGCTGTGTGGATGTAAGAGAGGAGGCCGTTAGTGTCCTCTGTAAAACGCAGAGTGATCCTAACAAGGGAAACCCCTGTGCGGTGCGAGGTACTGGCAGCGTGCTTACCTGTCTGGTCCCAAACCCACATGGTCTGTCTGCTCAGACACAGTGGCAAGGCAGCTCAAGCTATTTCCCAGAGGCTAAGTCCACCCCTCAACCCTTGGTTGTTTCCATATGGGAGTCTGTGTAGTCTGGCCATTCACTCTCAAGCCCCAGGTCTAGGGTCAGAGTCTGGGGTGCAGGATGCAGGCCTCAGAGGTGTGGTGCCCAGAGAAAGCCAGTACAGGGCAGGGGTGAGAGCCATGTGGACTGGCCCTCCTGCCCAAAGTCAAGCAGGTCCTTTGAGCGGAGGCCTTCAGTTCGCTCTCTGCTACTGAGAGCACAGCCTGCAAACCCTCCGCATCCCGCGGTGTATGAAGCAAAGAGCTCGGCCCACCTGGTGGAGTTTCCTGTACCCAGTCTGAGCCCAGGGACTCTGTTTTCATTTTAAATTAACACTAGAAGCTAGCATTCTTCAGGCACAGTATCCACATTGTCCCACTGGAGCCTTCCAGCAGCTCCATTTCACAGATGAACCACTGAGAGCAGAGATCACGTGATATGACTAGGTACACACCACAGAGCGGTAGAGCTGGGCTCATCGTGGGACACTCTGATTCTCCTTGTGCATGTCTTCACCTGAGCTCTGAGATGTTTGCCGCACCAGGGGTTTATCTAGTAGGTGGGTGACAATTCACATTTAGCACCAAATACCAGGTGACATAGAGCAGGGCCAGATCTTTCTCCTGGAGGTCTTGGTCTTAAGCAAGAACCTAGAGGCAGAGAAGGGGCTGGGAGGTGAGAAATTGTGAGCTAGTCAGGGCCAGAATAGCTGGGTAATGGCCAAGTTTCTGCCATTTGCTCCTGTGTGATCTGGGGCAATCCACTGCCCTCTCTAGGCTTCTGTTGTCAACTGAAGAATGAGGCCTGGGGACAAAGAAGCCAGCCATGGGGCCCCCAGACTTCTCACATGCCTTGCCTCTGACGAGAGAAGTGTCTGGTCAGAGAAGTATCTGGGGAATGGCAAAATTAAGCCCCATGCCTGGACTTGCACAGCTCAGCCTGTGGAATGAGGGGTATTCAGATCTGCTCCACAGTGAGGTCTGTTTGCCCTCCCCCCAATTCTGTGTTTGAGCATACGCACATACACACACAGACACACACACACACATACACACACGAGACACATACACTGTCCCTGCCATCTTTCCCTTGAGCCCTCTATCTGCCTTGGGACATGGGTTCACCTGGCCCTCTGCTTCCACCTCCCAGCTCCTTTAGCTCCCTCCCTGGTGTTGATTGGCTCAGGTTGGACCCCTGGAGTTTCACTTTCTCTGGGTGGCCCTGAGACCTCAATTCCTGCGCTGTAACCAGTGTCAGGTAACAGGGTGATGGAGCTAGGCAGGGGAGGAGAAGCTGAAGAAAAAGAGGTGGCTACCAGGTCTGGGCAGGACCACCAAGGAGGACTGGCTGGGGAGTCTTGCCTCTTCTCAGGCTGCCCTAAGGTGCTGCCACCCACAGGGCCAACCTGGGGAGCAAGAGCCAGCACCCATCCAAACCAGATCAGTGTCTGTCCTCATTAGCCAGGACCTGAGACATTCCCATCGTTAAATATTTTGAATAATCCTGTGCCACTTCCTACCACTCAGACCCAGAAGACACAGACCTGAATGTAAACCCCACAACTTTACTGCAGGTCTAGCCAAACACCCCCATTGACTATCCATAGGAGAAGCAACAGAATCAGCCAGGGCCGCATTTGCTATGCCAAGAGAACACACTTTATTGGGTAAATTTCCAGGGAAACCTGGTTTTGCATGGCGTAAAGGCAAGGTTAAGTCCAGAAACATAATATGAGAAATATTGGTAGAAAAACCTGCTAAGCAAGGACCCCTTTAGGGAAGGGTGGGATTATTCAGCAGCCAGGAGCCACAGGGTGTCCTCCTTCCTGTGGCCCAGGACCTGATGGGCCAGGCAGGCTGGTCACAGTGGGCGGGGCTGCACGTGCTCCCTGGAGGAGATGACTTTGCCGTCTCTGATCTCCTCAGTGATGGTGCGGATCTGGGTGCTGACCTGAGGACTCGGGGCACAGGGCACAGTAGTGGCACAAGGAGCAGAGGGGACATGCGGAACCCTAATGGCAGGCTTGCATTCCGTGGCACAAGGATGGGCAGGAAGCCTGAGGAAATACAACCATGCAAAGTGCATTAGGCATGGGGACATGGGTTTGAGGCTCGTGTAAAGACATTTAGGGGATCAAGTGAGACTGGCGAGTAGCAACAAATGGCCTCGGACCTTTTCAGTGCCTCCAAAGCAACAGAGAGTGGGAAGATAAGGCTATAGGATAAAAGAGCAGAAATTCCCAACCAAAAAATAAAGCTGGCTGCAGGAGTGCCATATGTGTTGGGTGGGCTTATCCCCTGTGTGTCACCAAGGCCTTGGACTAATGGGTACCTCAAGCAGCTTTGGCTCCATACCCTCCATCTGCGTAATAACCATGTTAGGGACCAACCCCTTCTCATTGGCACTGAGAGTTGAGTCAAGTCCTCATCCGACTCCCCACATGGCCTCAGGGCCCATAGGCCACTCACTTGCAGTCCTCGCTCTCCAGCAGACGGCGGTAGGTGGCGATCTCCGACTCCAGCCGGGCCTTGACATCCAGCAGCACCTGGTACTCCTGGTTCTGCCGCTCCAGGTCACAGCGGATCTCAGCCAGTTGGGCCTCCACATTGGTGATCATGCACTGCATCTGGGCCAACTGGGAGCCGTAGCGGGCCTCTGTCTCAGCCAGGGTGGATTCCAGGGAATTCCGCTGCAACAGAAAGAGGAAGAGCTGCCAGTGAGGAAAGAACCCCACTATCAGACCCCACAGCCCTGGGCATGCAAATAGCTTGTAATTACACCCTGTGACAGCCACATGGTGAGGCTGCTGGCTCAGGGGCCAGTCTTCTGGCCAGGGGCCACTCACCATGTTATGCTGGGCCTGCAGCTCAATCTCCAGGGCATTGACCGTACGTCTCAGTTCAATGATCTCTGTCTGGCAGCACTGTAGCTGTTCTGAGCTGGACACCACCTGTTGGTTCAGCTCCTCAGTCTGAAACACATGGGAGGGAGAGTAGAATCAAACCAAGTGAATCAGCTGCTTGTAAAGGAGCCTCCACCCCAGGAGCTTGTGGCCCTGAGCCCCCCAGTCCCACCTGGGTGTTGAACCAGGCCTCCACATCTCTGCGGTTATTCTCCACCAGGGCCTCATACTGGCATCTCATATCATCCAGAATCTTGTTGAGATCCACTGGCGGAGCAGCATCCACCTCTATATTCAATCGGTCCCCAAGTTGGCAACGGAGCACATTAACTTCCTGCAGAGAAGAGATGAGATGGGTGTGAAAAGGATGGTGAATTGAGGTTCCACTGACCTCCCTCAGTCACCAGCCATGTATCATTAGGCAGGATACTTAACCTCTCTGAGCCTTGGTGTTCTCATGGGCATGTACCTATTCCTCCTGGGAATTTGGAAGAATTGCATGAGATGACAAAAACACCAGGCAAATAGAATTGTTATCAGACACTCTAGCTCAAATGGAGATTTCTAGTCATGGGCAAGAGTGTGGACTCCATGTGACCTTAGACAGATGACCTAACCTCTTTATGCCTCAGTTTTCTCATCTATAAAAGGGAGATAGTAACAGTATCTGCCTGCTGGGATTGTTGTAAGGTGAAATGAAATTTGTATAGTTCCAGGTAGACAGTAAGCCCAAGGGCCAACAGTGGCTCCCTAAGCCAGATGGGAAATGCAAGAGGTCACATGGCACCAGGCTCACCTCCTCATGGTTCTTCTTGAGGCATAGCAGCTCCTCCTTTAGGGACTCCACCTGCATCTCCAGGTCAGCCTTGCACAGGGTCAGCTCATCCAGGATCCTGCGTAGGCCGTTGATGTCGGCCTCCACCAGCTGCCGCAGGGACAGCTCTGTCTCGTACCTGCACACACAGAACCCTGCCAAGTCTGCTGCCAAACAAGCCATTCATGAGCAGGGGCCCCTGCCCCACTGTCCAGCTGCAGTAACTAATTTGGGGCCAGAAGCATGGTGGTCCTTCAGATCGCCCAGGAGGGATCCAGGGCCCCTATCACCTTTCTCATTTATAGCTCCATCTGGCCTTATCCCCCTTTCCCCACCATCAGCTCCCACGCACAGGGGACAGAATCCAGGAGACAGCATAGCAAATCTCCCCTGATTGGGTGTACTCACTTGGTTCGGAAGTCATCAGCAGCCAGCTTGGCATTGTCAATTTGCAGGACCAGCCTTGCATTCTCAGACTTGGTCAGGAGGATCTGGGAAACAAAAGGCTTCCTGTGAGCAGGGAGAGACCCAGCAGTGTGGAGCCAGATGGAAGAAGACAGCCCAGTCCACAGGCCATGATTCCAAATACAACCAGCACCTTCAGTAGTTCCATCCCTGAGCCCAGACCCCAAGTGCAAAAGGAACATCAGCCCCAGGAAGGGCATCACAGGCTTTCAGTGGCCTCAATTCTGGCATCCATCACCTCCAGAATGACATGGTAAGATGTTCTAGGGTGAAACAGGCCTGGATTCAGCTTCCGCACCCAACACTCAACAAGTTGCTGAACCTCTCAGAATTCAATTTCCACATCTGCTGAATCCAGTAACACCCATGTCTCCAAGATGAGAAATAAATAAACCAGAGGATAGGACAGCATCAGGCAGTATCCAATAGGGACACAACACGTGTTTCTTCTCTTCCTGTAGCTGAGACTGCAAGGGAATGTGAGGAATGGCTGGCAACAGAGTACAAGATGGAGACCAGCAGAGAAGACTGAGTGCCCCAGGAAACCAGAGCCCTAGAGACAAAAGCTCACCCTACCAGCAGTAATCCCTAAAAGGTACAATCCCCTCTGGGAAGGCCTTGCAATGAGACAGATTCCTCCAGGAGCTGGGCTGCTCAGCTGGAGAAGGGCCAGGACCCCATTACCTTCTGCTGGAAATCCTCGATGGTCTTGAAATAGGACTGATAGTCTGGGCAGATGTATGGGCTCTGAGACTCATACCACTCACGGATGCGGCACTCCAGCTCTGCGTTCTCCCGCTCCAGCTGGCGCACTTTCTCCAGGTAGTTGGCCAGACGGTCATTCAGGAACTGCATGGTCTCCTTCTCACTGCCATTGAAGGAGCCCTCACAGAACCAGCCCCCATTCCCGACAAAGCCAGAGGAGTGGCTCCCAATGGAGAGGTAGGAGCCAGGCAAGCAGCTCCCAAGGCCAGAGAGGCCCAGCCTGACTGAAGAGACAGACCCTGCAGCACCAGCAAGACTGGGGACCCTGCAGGAGCCCATGGACCGGATGGAGGACACCCGAGAGATGCTTCCTGCTGTGCCACAGAAGCCCTTGACAGACCCAGTGGAGAAGGTCGGAGTGCAAAGCTGGGTGGCCATGATCCTAGCAGAGGAAGGTTCAGTTTAGCAAGGAGCTCAGGTTCTGGTATCTCAAGGCCTATCTGGAGCATTTATATACACTCTCCATGGGGTGTTGGCACGTTACACATCTTTGCTCTTGGGAAAGCCTATTCCTATTCCAGAAAGCAATCTCATTAGAATGTGATTTTTGCTACCCATCCAGAATTTCTTACCTTGTTAAAAAAAAAAAAATGTTGAATTTGATTTGCTAAGTCAGGACTCTCAGCTGTTGTCATTTCCTACCAGGATATGCATTTTATTGCCTCTTCAAAGAGGCTTTGCACCAGATCCCATAAATCAGGAGTGGCCTCACAAATGGCATTTGGTTCCTGCCCTCTCTGCCTGTCTTCCTTGAGGAGCCCAATCTGTTCATTTCTCACCTCCATCTATTACCCCTCATAGCTGGTTACCTGACCACAGGATGGTAAAAAGGGAGCAGAGGAAACTACATTTTGTGGAACATCTATCGTGTGCCAGGTTTGCAGTTATTCCATTTACATGTCTTCCCAATCCTGGGAGGTCCCTGTCAGAGGGCCCAGGCCCATAATGCAGTGGTTAAGTGCTATACATAAAGAGTCAGATCCCACATGGCCAGACAAGGTTCAAATCCTGGCCCCAGCAGTTTGAAAAGTAAGCCAGGCACACAAGCACATGTGCCCCAAACCCTGACAGATGGAGAAAAGAAGGAAAAGGGATTGCAGCATGACTACACCCCATGGGAGAAGGGGTACTTTCTCTCTCTCTCTCCCTCTCTCTCTCTCTCTCTCTCTCTCTCACACACACACACACACACACACACACACACACACACACAAACTCATCGAATAAATAAAGAAACTTTCTAAAAGATCATCACCTGGTACTCCTGTCTACTTCACAAGGAAGATTGAACGGGAACAGAAGTAGTGTCTTGAGAGCCATTGGGTACCACAGAAGTGTTGGTCAAGCTAGGAGGACAGTCTTTGGTGATGGTTTATGGTTGTGGCCATCATGTGAGCACTCGGGAGGGCTTCTGAGGAGGTTTTTCTGTCCACTGGGCACAACATGGTGGCACAGGGGGAAATGCCCCCATACCCGATCTCTCAGTCAGTCCGTGAGCACATCATCATGGAGAATGTGTCTTGCCACCATGTAATCCACATGCTTGGATCCACAGGTGAGTCTGCCAGGCAGTTTCATTTGTGGTCCTCAGCTTTCTGAACCTATAAGGGTAGAGTCAGGATCCCAGGACAGCCCTCTATGACCCTCCTGGTTCCTGAACAGGTCATAAAGATGACCAGTGACAGGCTATTTGGACAGAGAAGAAATTTTTTAAAAGAAAAGCAGCTTAGCTGTAATTGCACAGGTAGTAGGGTGCTAGTGCAAGTTGCTGGAGCCACATGGGAGTCCCAGAAAGAAACACATGGGTGACCTGAACACGCCAGACATGCTCATGTGTGTGCCGGTTCCTGTCTGGCCAGAAGGCTAGATTGTTGAGGTGGGATCTTGGTGTGCTGTCTTTCTCGCTTTCTCTCTCTCAAGAAATAAGTAAACTCTAAAAAGAGAGAAAAACAAGAAAAAGAGAACAAAACCAAATACCATCAGATAATTAAGCAAGCCCAAGAAGGGAGTTAGGACCAAAGATAAACCCAGTCCTTCCACCTGAAAACATGGACTCTCCCAAGGCTTGGGCAACCTGCTCACTCTTCTCCCACACAGACTTGGTTTGCAAGGCTGGCATTTATAGGAGTATTTATGTGCTTCTAGAGTTGCAATGCATCAGCCTCTTAAAACACTTTATAAGCTTCTCTCTGAAATTAGTCAGGAGGATTGGCTGTGGTGAACACACCTCACCCAGTGTGGTGGACACCTCGACAAAATGTCTGAGAGCAGCTGGGGAAGGTCGTACTGGGCGCCCTCTCCATGCAGCCTCCCTGGGAGCCAGAGTAAGGGCCTTAGCCCTCCAAGGCTCCAGCTACCCCATCTTCCCTGCTCTCCTGGCAGGGCCTAGAACTGGACTGTTGTGGTTTCTCAACCCTGACACTGCCGACATGTAGACCAAGTGATTCCTTGTTGTTCGGGGCTATCCTGTGCATTGTGACGTGTTCGGCAGTATCTCTAGACTCTACCAACGGATGCCAATGGCAATCCCCTGTTCCACTCTGACAACCAGAACTATCCACAGATATTGCCAAATATCCTCTGGGGGTGTGGGGGGACAAAAACATCCCCAGCTGAGAACCACTGGACTTCTGGGACAAAAACTGGAGTTCTCACCCGACCTCCTACAAGCACCCTCACTTTGCTTTCCAGAACACCTAGTGTAGAGGCTGACTGTCTCTGTTGGGCCCACTCAGACTAGCCCTTATTTTAGCTAAGCCTCAATTTACCTTCTTTGTGACACAGAGTGCTTGTCCTATAAAATGGACCCCAAAGGCAGCCCTTATTGACCCCTTTGCCCAACTCTTCTCTGTCTGGGGTCTCTGGCTGGGGAGCATCTGACATCAGCATTCTCATTCTCTTTTCTTTTTATCGATCCCCCGGCTATACAGCCCATGCCTGAAGCTGGCTCTAGGTTTCTCCCAGAGCAGTGGGATAAACAGGTGTCTGCTGTTCAGGACATTCCCATCACTCTCACCTATGTATCAGGAGGGCCACTGTGAGCCACAGAGATGTCTCAGGGTGATGGAGACAGATATTTCTGGAGCAGGCGACAAGCTAGACAAAAGAGAAGGGCTTTCAGTCTCCCTCTGTCCCTACCTTTATTTAGATGGTAGAGTGCATGACAGCCTCCTTCCCAGAGGGAAACGTGGAATATTACTGGTGGGAGGAATTCCTCCATCCTCTTCCATCCCAGCAGCCTAGACCATCACAGGGTATAGGGAGGACCATAGGAACAAATTTCCACCTTGTATCAAAGGAGACAACCTAGACCCACCACACTGCTCAACTTCAGGGGAACCACCACCTCCTATGGGAGCCAAGCCTAGGGACCATCCAGCTGGTCAGGTTGAGTAAACCAAGGTTCCCATTCATCAGGACCCTGTTCGGTGGCCATTCTTTCTAATATGAATCAAAAGGAGACCTGAACTCCATGCCCCGTTCTGCCCACCCACTTGGCCTCAGAGCCCCAGTCTGGACCAGGAAGGGCTTGGACAATGACTGCAGTCCTTCTCCAACATCATAGGAGTTGGTGCCCAAGCATATGCTGTGGCACCCAAGAGTTACCTGGGCAAAACCTGTGGCTCATTTACCCTCCCCCCCAGCCCTGTCCCTTCTGCCACTGAGCCACAGAATACAGAGGCATAAAGGAGGTTCGAGCATATGATATGATTGGGTTTTCTTTTCTTTCCAAATACCCATGGGCCCCTGGGTCTCCCTTTGCCACAAGCAGAAGTATGCCATGACAGAACAAGGATGCAGGCTTCTCCTGGTCCTGCCTTGCATAGAAGAATGCCAGCACTAACCCACCAAACCATGTTCTTTCCCCAGGAGGCCCATGCAGAGGTGACACTGGGACACTGAGAAGATATCCCGAGGTGTTCAGGTGGAACACCATCTCTGGTCACCTGAGCTGGAAATTTTGCTTTGCAGGAGTGAAGAAGGGAGCTAGAGAATATAAGGCTGGACAGCAGGAGCAAGGGCCCTGGGCCTGAACTCAGCCAAATCTGGGTTCAAGCTACTCAATCCCTCTGAGCTTCCCTTTCCCAAATAGGTAAATGAAGGTCATAATGCCACAGTCACAGGACTGTGAGAACTAAATCAAAGGTGCTTGGTAAACAGGAAGCACTTCACAGATTCAAGGGCTCCAAATGCTCTTAGAGCCCATAGAAAAGACAGCTGCTCAAACAGGCAGAGGCTGGGCCTGTGTCCAGAGCTGCAGCAGTCCCTTTGGCCAAGATCCTCTTTCTGGCCATTAACACATAGTCTAGAAGCTTCCAAACACCTCTAACCCATCCGTAGACATAGGTGCAGGTTATAGGGTACAGTACTGATAGAATGTTCTGTCTACCATGATCCCAGTTTGGGATAGGGGAAGAGAGGAAGGGAGAGGAAGAGAGATGCCACTGTAAGGACAGACACGGTCCGATTTTTCCCAAGTCCATCTTGGAAGGCCACCAAGTTTAAGATTAATTGCTAATCGATGACTTATTTTTTGATAAAAAAAAAAGTTTATACCCTCAAATGAGCTTCCATTAATAGCTAAGGTTTTCCATAGGTAAATATCTAACATGTCAACCCTGCATGTCCTTCTGCCTGACTCTGAGCGGTCCCTTAGAAGCAGAGGACATAAGACATAGCCTGTCACAATGCACCTAGGGAGGAAATGAGCTCTCCCAACAGAATCTCTCTTT